AATAATGTTGAGTTGTTTTATGAAATGCCTTTAAAAAGATGATACGTATTGAAAACTCTAAATATCATGAAGGGTTTAAGGATATGGTTAGTTTAGAATTGCTTTAATCTTTTTATTATTCATCTTCACTCCTTTGTTAGAAACAACAAAACCTAAGTAAACAATGTTGCTAGTGAGGAATTCACACTTCTTCAAATTAGCATAGAAATTTTGATTCCTTAAAGTCTAAAATACTTATTGCAAGTGACTAAAATGCTCTTATTTATTCTTGTTGTATATAAGAATAGCATCAAAGTGAACAACAACAATTTTGCCAATAAAATATTCAAACACATTATTCATCATTTCATCATTCACATAAAAGTATTGTGTGTATTAATAAGGCTAAATGGTATAACCATCCATTCAAAAAGGTCATACCTCATTTTGAAGGTTATTTTCCATTCATCGCCAACTCTCATCTGGATCTAATTATAGCCACTTATAAGATCAATCTTTAAAAATATGGTAGCACCATTAAATTAATATAGCAGCAAGTCATTTAGTTGAGGAATAGAAAATTGATAACCAATAGTGATTTTATTCACTGCTTGATTATTGATACACATTCTCTATAAACCATCCTTGTTTGGAATAAGAAAAGAGGGCACAACACATAAACTCCTACTTTCCTTTACCAAGCCCTTCAAAATCAACTCATTAACCTATCTTTGTAATTTTATATATTCAATGTAACTCATTCGATAGGCTACCTTGTTAGGAAGCATAATATTATCTCTTATTGGAGGAAGTAAAAGTGGTATTTCTTTATGAACTACATTAGTAAACTTATCAAGTAAAGGCTGCACTTTTGAAGGTAACTTATTCATTCAGCATTTTTCTCAAAAACAAGAAGAGCATAACCCAAATCCATATCATTATTAAGTTTTTCAATTTCAAAACAAGTAACCAAAAGTGTTTATGTCCCTTTAGAAAGTTTGGAAATAAATCCAGGTTTAAAAGGACCTAAAATAATTTGTACACCATCTTTCATAAAATAATAAGTCTTCTTAAAGTCATTATGCTAAACTTTCTTATCATATTGCCTTGGATGAACAAATAATAAATAACATGCATCCATAGGAATTACATCATACTAGACCTAATCAGAATACTCTCTCCTAATGAAAAAATAAAATACTGACACGACCAAAATATTGATATCTTCTTTCAAATGCAGGAGTGTCGAAGTAATAAATAACTCGGCAAAACTAAGGTCGAACCACAGGGAGGTTAATTGTATAAATTATAAATAACTATAACACAACAACAAATCCATAATAATAACAATAATAATACTAAATACGAATACTAATAATAATAATAGTAATAATATTAATAACAACAACAACAACAAAGAAGAAGAAGTTAATAAGAACTTTGAGATGAAAGATTAACGTAAGGATTAAACAATGATAAAAACAAATGTCAAGGTTAGAGGATCCACTAATGATATGATAAACAAGTATAGTATAAGCTCTTATTATTCAATTGAAAACCACACACAAAAGAGGTTCCAATTAAATTATAAATTGTTAATATGATTACATTAGTTATCTTATTCGATTAATACTAATACTTGTAAATCTTGTTAGACATTCATGATTATAACTTATGTTAACAACAAATCAAGTTCCTTTTATAGCTCAGGTCAAAGTTATGCCATACAGTTGAGCTATAAAAGTGCCAAGTATTTATTGTACCAAGTGTTATATAATATAAATCTAGATTAATCATTTAACAAGCAAAGTATCAAAAAGTGAACAGGATAACAAATACAAAACATATTGGTATCAAACATTGAAATCCATGTTAAGTTTACATTATATTTATTCTTACACCATTAGTGTAACCTTTTCACCTTGACATAATAAACTTAACTAAACATAATGAAAGAAAGAAAAATAAATAAACAACATAAGAACATAAATAAGATAAAATTTAACTAAGTAAAGGAAAGGAAATGAAAGGTATAAACTTGATATTAATAAAAGCAAAACATAAGCAATACAAAGAGAGAAAGCAAGAGCATGATCTTGATCTGGAAACCAAGATGCCTAAATGCATGACAAATGTCTCCTTTTATAGGCCAAAATTAGAAACTATTGATTTGATGACTAATTGATGAGTGGGTGACCAACTATTGACTTGATGATAGTCCTTATCTTCTCTTGTCTACCCAAAACATCATTGATAATGTCAGAATTAGAACCACTTGAAAACATAAAAGTTTTAGGAAATTGTCTCAGCTTTCCAGGAAAAAATTGAGGTCATTTAAACTTTTAGAACTTCAGATATAGGTCAAAAACTAAACAGTGTTCGGGCTGCAGGACAAATTCAAACTCCAGATATAAAAATGCACTTTTAAGTACTAATCAAACACAACACCTATTTGTTAACTTTTGCTCATACTTATTTCCAATTACCTTAATTTTTAAAGTTGAAAGTGTGTTTCCATGTTGAGCTGCAACTTGTTCACCATATTAGTAGATACAATATTAACACAAACACAACTATCAATGACATCACAAACTTTTCCAATTAATGTGGTCTACGATGAAAAAAGTTAACACCCTCCTTATTATTACTAGAGGAACCAATTTTAGTGTCATTCTCATCATCACCACCTTGATTTTTATATCATTGAAAACGCTCCTAGAGTTGCTAGAGTTGCCTTCTTATTTCTTCCATTTCAAGAGTATGGATGTCCCTCTCAAATTCTTATGACATCCATGAACAATCATGGTTGTAAATCTTAAGCTCTAATACTAACTTGATATAGGGATGGTATGGATATCACAAAGTAACATGTCACTCACACAAATGATATTTTTTCCCTCACCACTCTAGGGTACAAAACTATAACAATACATATTTTTGACTCCCTAGAAATGCAAACTATAACAATAACTTTCTATTAAAAAAAAAAAAAACTTAAATGCATGTATAGTTGGACAATTTGAAAAGATCATATTCTAAACTTGAGAACCACATAAGATAATCTTATTTTTCCATGCAATGAAAACATGAAAATCCAGGCTTAAAGTTAGCCTATTGGCTGATAGTAAACTTCACCAAAAACTTCACTCATTTGTATTGTCAACCCAAGCTCAAATAGCTCATCACCAAAGGGATCATTTGACACTTCAATGTTAAAAAGACCTAAAAAAGACCTAGGTCAATCTAGGCTAAACTTTCAAATCAATGACTCGGGTTCTAATACCTGAATTATTCTATAGAAGACAAACTAAAAAAATCATGAAGTCAAATTTTTGATTAATAAAATATTAAGGAATGAAATTCAAAAAGAAAGTTTCAATAAAAAAGAGATCTAAAATATAACAAATAGCAATTAAGAAAATAAAGGGTCAAATTTAAAATAAAATAAAATAAAATAAAATGTTGAGAGATGAAATAAAAAAAAAATTAATTAAGAAAAATAGAAAAATAGCAATCAAAAGAATATCATTATATGAGTGACATGTTACCTTGAGATTTTAAAAAATCTCAATTCTATGATTTAAAATAGAACAAGTAAATATAAAAAAGAATATAAACTAAATCCAAAAGAAAAATAAATGGAGGAGGAGTTATTTTTAAACTTTGCATATCCATGCACAAAAATCAAGAAGGAAAGAAAAAAAAAGTTATCAACGCCAAACAAAAAGAGCATTGGTTATACGCATTATCAAATGATGAAGGAGCTGTTGTAAAGATTCAAATGTTTTCACACTAGTGTTTGACCACTTAAAAACATAACACATGTAGTCCCAATAACATGAACGTTGGGCATTCGCGTGAACAACATGCATCATTAGTTTTTAATATTAAATAATATTTTATATATACTAAAATGTCAAATTGCTCATGATCAATTCGATAATAATAATTAAAAAAAACCTATAATAAAAAAAATTAAAGAACTCTTGGATGCAAGTTTAAGATAATTTGAATTCAAGGACAATATAATCATTTTACTTTGCTAATTAAAATAGAAAAGACAAAGCAACCCTTAGTTTAGTAAACTAGTTTCATTTTTATTTTATTTTTGCTTTGAAAATTATTTTAGTTATTTCACTTTATTAAAAAAATTACCTTATTACCTTTATTATCAATTTTTTTTATTGAGATGGACAAATTAGTAATTTCATTGTTTAAATTTACAATGCTAATAAATATAGAGTTATGATAAAACCTCCTTCCCTTTTTTTAGTAGTCATATCTATACAATAATTCAAACTTTATTATTATTATCGAAGAAAAATCATATGAGTAGATAAATAAATGAAACATTTAATAATTTCTTAGGTAACAAAACTTTAATAAATAATTTTTTTTTTTAAAAAAACACACACTCTGGATCCGGTTTGTTTTAAATCCCGGGCCAAGTTGATTTTAATAGGTTAGGTTTTTGCTTTGTCGAGTAGTCGGCATTAATCTTCTGGAGAAACAGAATAGAGAGAGATTAAAATCCAATAAAAAAGCGAATTATCGACCATGACTGGTAATTTCCTTTGATTTTCTTAATGGCTTTTTTGAATATATTGTTTATGATTAGATATATGTGTTGGTTGATAATCAGTTCCTTCCCAGTAGAGAAGAAGTGTTGCGTTGGGCTGCAGCAATGGGGCATGTTTATATCTATGTGTTAAGAACTGATTGATTGAATAAAATGAATTGGCAGACTATGGACAGGAGCAGGAGATGGAAATCGAAGCATTGGAAGCCATACTTATGGATGAGTTCAAAGGTACTTTCTTTCTTTCTTTCTTTCTTTCTTTCTTTCTTTTTTGGTTTTTCCCAACGAAACAAACTAATGATATGCAATGGCAGAAATTCATTCTAGCGAGAGTGGCTTAAACACTTCTAATCGTTGCTTCCTAATAACAATATCTCCACAGGTGGGTTGGTTTGTTCTTACTTTACATGCATTCTGTCAGATTGGATCTCTCTTCAAGTTATTTTTTTGTATATTAGCACTGGCTGGAAAATATTAATTTGCTTGTTTTTCTTCATATGTGATTACTTTGCTCTGTGGTCTCTTCATATGTGATTACTTTGCTCTGTGGTCAACAGGATGATGACACGGATGAGTCTACTGACATTCCAGGTTATTCTCTTTATTTTGGTGCGATAAACATGTTTGATTTTTTCTAGATCAGTAGAATGAATTATCCCAGCATCCTACAGAATTTAAGAAACTTCCATTGTCATCTTGTTAAATTCAACTTCATGTTTGGCTTTTATGACTGTTTTGGTGGGTGCCTTCCTTTGATCAGATTTGAGTATTTATTTATTAAGTTCTTTCCCATTTCCTTTGCAGTTCAGCTAGGTTTAGTTTTCTCCCACACTGAAAAGTATCCGGATGAACCTCCACTTTTGAACGTGAAGAGGTTAGTATGTACATGTTACAGACATTCCTATGTGGAGGTGTTCCTTTCATGATCTAGTGTTCTCTATTTCTATTTAAAATTAAAATGTATTAATTAAAAGAAAATTACTTTCCTTTTTTTCCTTGGAGCTCAACTTTGCTCTCAGTGTGCTTTCCTTGATTTGTTAAATGCTTCTCAAATACCACACAAACATGTAATAGAAAAGGACCACTATTTTCATAGCCACCTTTTTCCGACCTCTGATTGAATTGAAAGATTAAAAAAGAAGAAAGAGACAACTAAGAGAGGGAGGAGGTGAAGACATTAGAGGCACACCTGCCTTGGACCCAGATTATAATGTTTATAGTTTGCCATCAAGGTTCTGAGCAAATAACAAGAATGCATGAGTATTCATGGACATTCATGGAGTCTCCATTGTTCTGTTAGGTTCGGAATCCTGTATAGGAAAGTTAATAATCAATATCAAGACTGACTTGGACCTAGAAAATTGACTAAAGTGCCAAAATACAGAAGGAAATTGTGGTTGCAGAATTACCAAAACTTGAAACAATCAGATAATTTGACCATGAATCAGTAAGGTACATTATTGAAAGACTATTCATGATGCCTCACTTGCACTACTCCCAAATCACTAGGAGAAGCTGCATTTACCTATCTGAAAATTGTAAGAAAAATTAGCTTCCCTTTTCCATGGTTGCATCAACTTTTTTACATGTCTGTGCTACATTGTTGCTTCCACTGCTGCACTGTCATCTCCAAAATCTAGTTACAACCTGCAGCTCATAAAAACGCTGTCAGTGAGAGTGGTACAGCAACCAGGTTACCTGCTGCAAAAGTGACTAGATATACAGTTATTGCTTGCTCCCGGTTTCTTCTTCTGTAGTCTCTATGTCAACCTTGATATTTCTTTATGATGACAACGCAACGGAAATTCTTTGCAAATTCATTGTGGCTTGTGCATGGATCTTAATTTTCATGAAACAGAAATTCCTTGGTGTTTTGCAAGTATACTGCTTTTCTTTCCTTTTTTTCACGTTTATTTTCATTATTTTTATTATAAGCACTGACAGGACATCAAGCCATAGAGGTAGCCAGCCTGCACTAAGTGCTACTTCGCAAGTATTCTTTTCACTCATAAAAAAAGCCTGACCTACAAAAATATAATGCTCATAGAAAGATTGTTGAGTTCTTGTCTGTATGCTAAACGTTCAAATGCACTCAGAAAGTGTTTAAACCACCTATCATGCTAAAGCCAGTTGATGGGCTGTGTGGTGCAAGTGCTGGGTGATACTTAAGTAACATGGATCAAAATTACTACTGTCAAGTGATAAAACTATGAACTATAATCGAACTATTATATAGATGAACCATGTCTAGAGACGTCTGATTGTTGTTCCTCTCTGTTCCAGCATACGAGGTATCCAAGTAGATGATCTTAAAACTTTGAAGGAAAAGCTTGAGCAAGAGGTAATTGAACTCAATATATTTATTTTTTACTGTACCTTTTAAGAATGAAGTCAAGCTAGGTATCATACTTCTGATAGAGCTGTGTCTAACAATTTCTTATGCTTGGAAGTGCTGAGGAATGTTAATGCACTTTATTCATGATGTGTTACCTGGGACAATGATGGGTAAATACAACAGAAAAATCCTCAAAAACCACTTAAGAAGAGCAAGAACTGAGATGGAATGTGCCACTGTGAAAGTGTAAATTCTGTAGTGCAGCAAAGTATTGAATCCTCTGAATGTTTAAGCTGTTTGTTTTTGTTTGGTAAAATGTGTATACTGTAAAGTGAATACACAATTCAGGAAACTGTGAGGTTTTGCTAATAATTTGACTTGATAATATGCTTCACAGGCATCTGAAAATCTTGGTATGGCGATGGTCTACACACTAGTTACGTCTGCTAAAGAGTGGCTGTCTGAAAGATACAGTCAAGATACCAGCAATGAGGACATTGAAAATGAAGAGGCAGCAAAAGATGATGTATGGATTCCTGTGTTCTGATTTTTTTCTTTTTTGTTGGCAGTATTCTTACTAGATTTAAGTGAAAACATGATATAGCATTCCAAGATATGTCCACTAGATCTCAAAACCTTATCATATCACTGTGCATTGATAATTTCAGATGTTTGCCGTTGTCCTTATTTTTATTTTCTTAAGCAGCCACTTCATACCTATTCATCTATTTACAGGTAATTGTACCACATGGAGAACCTGTGACTGTCGAGACATTTCTGGCTTGGAGAGAGAGATTTGAAGCAGAGTTGGCCCTTGAGCGAGCCAAGTAAGTTCTATTATTTGATCCCTATTTCAGGGTCAAGGTTCCATTCCATTTTTGTTATTGGGATATGTTTCTTATCCTTGAAATCTTATGGTTATCCACAGCTTGGAAACAAAATCATCCCATTTTTTGTTCTTGTCGTTGTTGTTATTGTGTCATGGTGTTTTTTTAACCCTAAATAAAATTTGTTAGTTGGCATATCTACCGTTTTTTCATACAGTATGGAGCTAGTAGATAGGGTTGCCTATTATTTTCATGAGGAGTTGAGAGAATTTAATAATTTCTGTGAGACTGACTACCTTTGACATGGTTTGATTGCAAAACTCAAGTTGCAAATTGATGCTACAAACTGATAGTTGAACAATTTTAGAACTCGATGGGTCTAAAACAAACCATTACTAATTGAGATATGGTTGCTGCTTCTCATTTTGCTTTTCTGTTAATGTTCATTTTGAAAACAATTGGAGAGAGGAATGTGGGTCAAACCTTGAAGAAGTTGGCATCATTTGCTACTTTTAGGAGGTACCATTCAAAATATTTTTTGTTGCTCTCACGAGCAAGAGAATTGCGACTTCATGCTAAGCAAAAGATTAATCGTACAGTAGACTCATCATGCATTAGTATGGAAAACCCACCTATAGGTTCTATCAGCTTATATAAAGAACAGAAGAGAAAAGAAGAGAAATAAAGGTGCTTGTTCATTGGAGTTTGCCAAGACAAGTTGTGGGACTTCAACGATAACAGGTTTCATTTTAAATGCACTACAAGAGTGAAGTGGTTGGTTCATCTCATTGAAGAAGCCTTCTTTTATGTTCATACTATTCCATAGAGGTGTCATGAAATTCCAAGCACTTCCCAAAGCTTGAATGTTTGATAGATGACCACTTCTATGTTTCGGATATGCAACAGAAACTGCGTTTTGTACCCAAAATGACCTTTAAAATTACTCTATCTAATGGTAAGAGCATTTTGGTATAAAAGGTGATTTGTGTAATATTTTCTTGAATAGCTTGCTACGTGGTTTAAATCACAAACAATCTAGAATCCTTCTTCTTATTCCAAGTGATATTCTCCATGTTATGGGCAATACATAGTTGAGTCATTTGTTTAGTAGATGTCTTTTTATGTTTTATATAGCAAGCATGTGATGCTGCTGTGTAAGGAAAAAGTGGATACGCAGTTTCAGATGATTTTCTTCTACATTTCACCGCACAAATAACCATGTGCTGCATTTTATGAAACTCTTTTCTTAGATTATAATCATATCACTGGAATAATTCTTTGTTCAGTCATTAATTCATGACTAATGGCTGGGACCATTTTTCAGGCTGATGCCTGAGTCTGCTCTCACAGCCCCAAAGGAGAAGAAGCTTACAGGCAGACTGTGGTATGAAAGTGGAAAAGCGGTATGCTACCCCCAACTTTTCCTCCCTCTCATAAAGTGGATGCATAATTCAATTTCCCATGTTAGGATTTGATAGTATTCCCAAAATGTGCACTTAATAGACTGCTCTAAACTATAGCATCTAAAGTATCTAGCATCTCTGATGATGTATGGTTTCTCAGTGGCTGAGCTGTAGCAGTCATCCTGTTCACTATTATTGCTTTGCTACCTGCGTTAGAGATGATATCCCATTTGCTCAATTTCAACTAATGATAGAATGATGCTTAATTAAGTTTGAAATGGATGGTTAAATAACATTATTCTTTTTCCCCCAGTGCTAGCCCTTCGCTGGTGAAATTTTATTTTAGGTCAAGAAATATAAATCAAGATGAACCATCAATTCTCTTTGACGTCATTAATTCATCCTTTCATTGAGCAGGCTATTTCACTTGATTAAAGGCATTTTATTAACATTTGAGATCAACTCTGATTTATATTGCTAGCACTGGGATGGCTATTGATTGTCATTTTTACTGGCCATTCCAAATCACAGACCCAAGTCCATAAGATAAAAGCAATGTAGTTTCTCAAAAATAATTTGAAGTCTCTCATGCATCTTTTGCTGGCATATATCAATAGCAAGTTTGGTTCCACTCTAGATGTCTATCATAGAGATGGCTTGATGTTTAGATAGAAATTGCATTCTAATTTCAAACTGAACCTCTTTTATGCTAAAAGGTAAATAACATGCTGAGTCCCTTTTGCAGAAAGGTGCTATAGCAGTCAATGAAGGATCTGACGTTGAAGACGAGGAAGAAATTGATTTTGATGATGATGATTTTGAAGGTGATTCTTTATCTTCTTAGTCTGCTATTCATAGTTTTGGCATTTTATAGGCATGGAGATTTTATTTGGTAACTTGAACTTCAATGTCGGAACTTAATCATATGCATCCTGTTGAACTTTGTCCTTTCTTTATATAATGGCAGATGATGAAGAAGATATGCTTGAGCACTATCTGGCAGAGAAATCCGACTCTTCTCACTCTTCAAGGAAAGCTGCTTAAATAACAGTATTTGGTGTTGTAATATAGGTTATTGAAGGCAAAGAGTGTATGAGCAATAAATTTTTGGGCGTTGTCCTACACATATTTATCTCCTTTTCCCCTATGTATTTAATGTGTGAGGAAGAGGGTTGTGTAGATCAGAGTGATTTCCTTCTGTTCAAGTGAGGGGTTACTGGAGATGTAATTCAGAATTTAGAACAAGTTCAGAAAAATCTTGCACGTTAATCGAAGTGCTCAATTTGCTAAGTTAATCCATTACCACTACATGTGGACGTTGTTACTGGCAGAAAAACGTGAAAATAAAGTCATGGAAAGCAGCGACGGTGTCTCATCTCCAGCCTTCCAAACCTCTCACAATGCTCAATCTCGAGCTCCAGCACTTGAAGTAAGGCTTCACCCCAATAAATGGGAACCTAGACTGAAGATGCAGATTCGCTATGGCTGACAAACAGCAAGGATCTGTTCGTTCTCTACTGTCTGAGATGGAGCTCCTATGGAGGAAGGAGAACATCCTTTTCTTGCGCCACTAGATACATGTAAATGACAGCATTTTTCCACTTGTCGAGCTGGTTAAAAATTACTCCAGCATGACATAGAATTCATGAATTAAGTGTGTTCTTGGTTCTAAATCCATGTTCAAGTTACTAGTTGAAAAGATCAGAATATAACGCGAAGGAGAGAACATTTTTCTCAAAGAATAGCAACGATGAATGATTTTATTTCTAATAACAGTAGTAGAATATTTCACATGACTGCAACATCTGGATTGATTAATGGGTCCAGAATAGAACACACACCCCTTTGGGCTCTGGCGCCCATCTATTATACCACCACTAGATCTAATTTTTACAATAAATATGTTGTAATAAACCCCCCCACCAATTATCATTTTGTGTCTCGGTTGATATTACACGAGTCGAGATACAGATCTTGGATCTTCCCTGGCATTAAGGATCCGCACGACCTTGCTGCTAATGATCACTTGTTTGTGCCAAGGAGTGCCGCCTTCAGAGATCATAGAACTTTAGTGAAGCATGTGAATTATATGTTATCCTTGACTTCTATACGCATCCTTGATCAGACATAGCTTGAGCAATGGTTAGAAAAGCAGAGATGACAGCTCCGTGCACCAACGCCCTGAGAAGAACAAAAGATGAAGAGGCAGATAAGGAAAATAATATATCTCTCGTGTTACAGGCTCAAAATAATTTCATGTATCGCATCATTTTGGCCTTTGGTAGTCTGTAGAATCTCCCTACAACGAAACTAACAAAACCAAAACACTGATGCGTCTAAACTAATTTCAGTGAATGGGTTTTTTTAAACCTATCACTAATGAAGTCACTAGACGTGTTCTCAATTCATGAATTTGTGGACTGTAAACAACATCATGAAACCTTCACGGTTTCAACTTTTGAAGAGCGGGAATTCAAAAAGTGCTTGTAGTAGATTGAACCAAGTCACCAAACCATCAGCTCTTCTAACTGTAGCGTCTCAAAACTGTCAACTTCTTGTTAAATTTAGACTCTCAAGGAGAACATCTCAATAACTAGATTCTGATACATAGCACACCATGTGATAACATCATATAGTAAGAAACAAAAATCAAATACTCCTTGCATAATAATATAAATCATGAAACATGAGCGCTCTCAAGTTGCTCTACATAAGAATTTTCGGACACTCATTCTCCCAACTGCTTGCTATGGGTCGCTTGGATCACAACTCATAAAAGACAAAATTTTAGACATGATAATGCCAGTAGGAAGACACTTACTCAGGACTCTCCTTTTGGTAGCCAAAATCGTTTGCTGCTTTCAGGGCTCTTTGGTAGATCTGTTTCATTGCTTCCTACCATTAGGAGGAGTAATAGGAAAATCCACATAAAATATGTCAATAAAAAGAAAATCCAACCAAACTAAAATGTATAATGTTCATCAGTCATCAGAAAGTAGAATATAGGAATAAAGTACAACTAACAACCCACAAGGAGCAGATCCACCTACTGAACCCCAACACAGACCTGAACACTAGTCATTATGTGGGGTACTGTAGCGAGAAGGATCCCTTATGAACACTTTAGGCCACTTCAAACATTATTGCAGTCTGGACCAGAAATAATATTTTACAACTTTGAGTTGATTAATTTGGAGTCATTTCAGAAGGAAATCTGAAGGAGGTGGTTCTTGCAAGCAGATGACATAATAGCTTCTCCGTTGAGCACAAAGCTCCAAGCTCCAACATTGAAAAAACAAAAATACCCATTCCAGCTAGAAAATATTCAAAACAACATGAAAAAATATAAAAGCAAAATAGCCTTACCTGCAATTTAGATTCAAAGTCCTCAGGTGACCAGTTCAGCAAATTGCACTCATGGTTCAACTCAAGCTCCCCAGCAACAACCTGCACCCAGGTGTATTACTGATTTAGCACATATAAATAGGCTGAATAAAATTGTGAAGACTCAAACCCATCTTGCACAAACAACAATGATAAATTGACCAGTCTTAACAATACACCTTCAACTTTCTAACATAGATTGCAAGTGCAACACAGCTTTGAGACCATATTTGGCCAAAGCTACTCTTGACGAAACTAGTCAACCCTATTTCAACAAATAACAAAACCTGGCTTGCGGCAACCTTTTGTGGGACAAAAGTCCAAAGAGGTCCTCCATCAAGCTCTGATCTTTAGAGAAGTTGAAACTATAATGATTATTCAAGTTTCAATGATTTTTGACTCCTAAGCCCCTGGACTTCTACAATCTTTTGAATAGTTACCACATACAAAAAAATAAAGGAAACAAGCCCACTTCATAATCATGATAAGATGCATATCTTTTCTGAAGGTATGCTCGGTCAACATTCATCCCCATAGCAAGGGCGGAGTCATAACATGTCAAACAAAATTCATGACATTGTTCAACGTGTATTGAATATTATTCGTGCACAAGTTAACGGGAATAACTTACCCCTCCAGCACCAGCTGCTATAGCAGGAGCAATGAGAACATTGGCTTTTTTCAAAACATCAACAGCTTCAGGAGTACAAGGCATGTTTGAACCTAAGAAACAGAGAATATTGCAGAGTCCCTATCAATTGATGTGAAAGTTGAAAGTCATGAAGGAGTAAATATTAATGCTTAAAGGGATTATGCTGGGAACTCCTACCTTCAACGAGGAGACGACAGCCTGAGTTAACCAGACTAATGGCATCAGATTGATCAATTTCATTCTGGTAACCACAAGGAAATGCAACATCACACCTTTCACTCCAAGGTTTTGCTTCGTCATAGTACTTAGAACGAGCATAAGTCTTTGAGTAGTCTCTGTAGATTCCAAATTTATAATAACACCATAAAATGTTAACAAATCAACTAAGCAACAAGATTAATGGTGACTAAGGAAAACACACCTCAAACTTCTCTGCTGCGCTTTGATATCTCTGAGAAAAGATATTTTCACATAATCAAATCCATCCTCATCCACCAAGTATCCCTTTGAATCTGTCCAATATTTTGATACATGTTACAAGAGTAGCTACTCAAATAATCCTCTGCAGCAAAACCTCAACCGCATTATAGCCATTAACCCCTAAATATCAGAAACACTGAAAGTGGAATAACTTAATAAACAAAATTGTGACAAGAAATAGAAAGCTTTTTCCGTATTTTTATGTTTTTTTTATAAGATACAAGATAAAAGACCTGCAAAACCTTGAAGGCATCACTCCTCCTGCAAGTCTTCTAAAGATGTTGGAAGAAACACTTTTGAAAGATGCAGTTATGGTCTTATAGAATTGTGAATTGTGATGATCAACATAGCTTGTTCTTGTTGAGGTATTTTGACTTGGGAACTAATTTGGCATGCTAGAGCCCATCACTCAATTTGATAGTTTAAAATATTCACTGACAACTAAACGTACCTGATACTGTGATCGGAAGGGCACCATAAGCAATAAGCTTCTCTAGAACATGCATTGTAATCTTTCCAGAACCACTTACAGCACATCTGAATGGGAAATTCAGAAATGAACAAACAAATAAATGCTCAAATTTTGCAAAAGCAGCTCAGCATCAACTAAATGCTTTATTCAGTATATTAAGCAGCTAATAAGCCCAATACAGGTGAGAAATATTCAGATATTTGCAAGAATCAAACGCAATCATGTTTCAAACACAATACATCTCACTGCATTATAGTGAATGTAAGAATATATTCCTATTGGCCTATACTATGCCATTAACTTGAGGGATATTGACATCAACAGTAACAAGTTTTCAGAGTAAGGGAGGAACCTTAGTCCTTTGATTTCTTTATTCATGTCAGCAAGCATAAGCTGCACAAAGAAAACCTGCAAAAGCATGACAAATTTGTTAGATATTAAGATACTTAAACAAGAGTAATACAGTGAGTTCATTAAACTCACTAAGAAAACAATTATGAAGTAAACCAGAGAATAAATCATTTCACACACAGGAAACAATCTCAAACTATGGCAAAACAGAGAATAAAGACTGTTCACACATGGATGCACACAGCTATAAATCACAAAACTTAAAAACGTGCACATGTAGTATCTAAGAGTTTGATAGGAGAATCATTACCAACCCATAGCCAGTAGCTTCAGTTCGAAGGCTAGAGCCAGACCAAAATATCCTCGGCCCTGTAAAACTTCCCTGCATGAGTTAGGCATGAATATGAAGGAAAAGATAAGTCTCTTTCCATGATGAATACTAACAAAACAATAAATTTGAAGCACTTATAATGTAAAATGAAAGGTATTAGACAACAATATAAATCATATCTTGAGATTTTACCTAATTCCTTAAGCTTTTGAGTTGAGATGGTTCTTTGATATAGTATTGGAGTCTTGATGACCAAACGGTTATGAGTTCGAATCTCACCACATCCCTTCTCTTTTCTAATTAAAAATTAATTAATAGCACAAGATAGTGCAGACCCGTGTGCAAGTTTCAAGCCCAAAAAGCTTTCACTTAAAGGGGTGTATTAGAAAATAATATAAATCATATTTTGGTCACCTAATAGTTTAAAATTTTGGGTTGAGATGGTTTTCTAACAGAAAATATATTAAGGTAAGCCTTGCAACTCTAAAAAAAATGGGGGAAAACTTGTATACAAGGAAGCTGCAAGAAAAATGCATCTCACATAATGAAGTTTTAGTATAGTTAGATTATCTAGAACAAGCAACCTTCAGTTCGACTTTAAGGCTCACTTTTATCCTAAGAAGAGGCAGTATTCTCAATTTGATTTTAAAAGGAGGAAAGATGCTTGTCTAAAGGTAGAAAACGAAGGACTAAGATTTTGAATCAATTATAATAGATATGGACATGATATAAGATTCTAACAAGAACAATTCTCAGTCCCAATTCATTGTGAACTAGAGTTCCTAAACATAGCTATGGGTTAGAGAAATCATTTTTTCCCTATGCACTTACATCTAGTCATAGTTTAATAAAGTTCCAGAAGGAAAAAAATTTCAATTGAAAGCTCTATAATCTCTCCTCGTCTATTTTTAACTTTTTTCCCTCAATCTTCACAACCTCCTTCACATGCAAACATGACAATCAAGGGAGAAAAGACATGCAAACCTTCTGACATTCACAACATTTTAAGTATTCATTAATCTTTAAGAGCATCCAATTCAATAACAACCAGAGAGTGAGAATGCAACAATCTTCAAAATTTATCTCTCAATGATGCAGTTCTTTACAAGGTAGGATAGTTTTCCTTGCCTTTGCATCTTCAATCAGCCAATGATATAGAGGGCCTAGCTGATTGGAATGCTCTTTTATTTGTTTCTTGGGTTTCGTTTTCCTTTTTTGGGGGATGCTTTTGTATTCCAGTATTGTTCATTCACTTCTATTTCTTTAAATAAAATAATCTGCTCTGTGAAAGAGGGGAGAAACAAGCACTAGAGAAGGAAAAGTAAACGTACCTGAAAATGACCTGCTAAGCGTCTATATTGTCCAAGTAGATACCCCATTTCTCTTGTACCAACACCCATCTCCTCTGATGGAAGGTCCTAAAAGTTACAAGATGAAATCAGAACAATAGAACCATGACTGAGCAATTAGACAGTAAAACAATTAAAGCAATAAAGTCTTCTTCTACTTGCCTTGTCCGGACCTAGATATCTATAGATCTCATTCATGAAACTTTGGCAGAAGCGCATAATCTGTCAGTGAAGGTTTCATAAAAAAACATATTAAAAACTTTCAGAATTTCTGAGAATTACAAATGAAAATGATCGCAACGTAGAATGAACCAATGCCACCTCATTGTCAGTTTTTCCTTTTGGATCAAAATCACTTCCACCAGCAGCCCCTCCTAGTCTGTATGGTGATAAGGCATTCTTTAATGTCTGCAGCAAAGTAGAGAGCATGACATAATGTAGCATCTGCATGAGTTTTGCCCTCTTATTATATAGGACAAGTTAGATCAATCCATTTCAGTTTCTAGTGTTCTAAAAAAATATTTTCTGCTTCATGCCCATCAGTTTAGAAGGGAGAAATGTAAAATGCTTGGCAAAGTTTCATCACGATTTTGGGACACAAAACTACAGAAGACAGTCCACTGAAGACAATAAATACAATGAGTACCTGTCCAAAACCAAGAAACTTGGCAATGCTTAAGTTCATTGATGGATGGAAACGAATACCACCCCTACATGGACCCAATGCCTGGTTAAAATGCACCCGAAAACCTCGATTGACATGTGTCTCACCCCTATCATCCACCCAAGGCACTCGAAAAACAAGCATGCGTTCAGGTTCTAATAAGCGTTCCATGATGTTGACGTAACTGAAACAAAGTAAAGTCACTTCATGAGGATACCAGATAACTTTGACTTGAACTCCTTTTCACTTTTGAAGGCTAAAAAACCAAGAAAGAAAATTAGAAATGCTTTGCTATATGGTAACTTACTGAGAATTTTTTGCAATAACTCTGTCTAAAGCATGAACAGCTTCCTGCACTGATTGTATGAACTCAACCTCATGAGGATCCCTTTTAAGTGCAGCTTCAACAATAGATCCAGCTGTTTTTGACATAAGAGCTTCATTTACGGAACATTGTCATGAAATGGACAAAAGGTATATTTCAGCAAGAAAGATTACAAAAAAGAAAAACCTTATGATAGAATAATGCAGTCACAAGAATGGTTCAACACACACACACACACACACACACACACACACACACACACACACACACACACACACACACACACACACACACACACACACACACACACACACACACACACACACACACACACGTATGCATCCAACAAAACCACTTGTTAAAATCTTAAAATCCACCCTTGAGAGAAGAAAATCATGGATAAGCAACCAACCTTTTACATAAATAGTTTTATCGACCACAATCTTATCCTTGGAGGCCATCTGCAGACGAAGAGCCTCTTTGTGAAGCAAACTATTGTTATGCTCTTCCAGTGCACTCATCTGCATATTTCTACTGCCTTCATTCCCATATGGATTTCTTCTATGCTTCCTCCCATACTCTCTACAAACAGAGCAAAATATCCTTGCAGTTCCTTCTTTCACATCCACGAATGCCCACTTGTAGGTATCTGCCCATTCCTCTCTCCATCTTTTGACCACCTTTTTCTTCCTTTTTACTGGTTGTGTCTTTGGCACATCTTGTTCTTCGTTTGAAAATTGAGAAGAAGCCATCATATTCTTGACTTCATCATTGTCCTCAGCAGAATGTTCTCGTGGTCGACCACCCATAATAGGAGTGTTAGCAAATGAATGGTCATCATCTCCATGACCAATTTCCAAATCAATCTCCTCTCCAAGCTCTCTGACCACCAAATGATGCCTCTGTGCTTGCTGAATCAAGTTAATATCATCCATCGTGGAATTCATCCTTATCCCCTCAGCTGGTAGCAACATGCAGCATCACAATCTAACCCACACAGTGCTCCTCTATTTTCAGTTACCAATTGCCTGTTTAATTCTCAGTAACTGTCATCAAAGACTAAATGAGCTTCCAAAAGATGATGAAAAGGGCAAGATAAAGGACAAAAACAAAAAAACTAAGATTTGATTCTCATAAATTTCATTAGGTGACTTCAGAATACATGAACCCCAACCAACTGCAATTTGATAGAACCTAAAACTTGCATGCCTCAGTTACATTCAATAAAAAAACTCGAGGCTTTCTTCTAATGTCAAATTTTTCAGCCAATACAAAAACATCAAACTAGGAACAACACCAGCTATTACATCTTAAAAGAATAGCTGAAACAAAGTGACATAAACCTAGTATCTAATCCAATATCAGAAATGCAATTAACGTTGTCATGTCACGATGACATAAATCCATTTTACACAAAGCATATTGTGTCGCAACAATGAAAAGACCTTTGAACCGCCCACTAACTTCCATTAGCAAAATTCAGCGTTACCATATAATCAAATACTTCCCAATTTAAAGAACAAAAAAACCACAACCAAAAATTGAACTTGGCTAGCTAAAAAAATCAGGCAAGTTTGATTGACCTTTCAATCGTGTTTACTTATCCACCACTAACTACTGCTATAAAACAAGCAAAAAGGGTACCAATAAACACACTCAAAAACAGAAATTTAACCAATACCATCCTTGATTAGTCAACCACTAAACCATCAAAACTACTCAGACACGCAAGGTTTAAGGCCAAATTGAACATGGCTAGAACTTATAAAGGCATAAAGTTGAATTTTTTTCCAAACCCATAAGTTAATTTTAGATTTTGAGCAAAGCCCAGAAGCCTAAATAGAAAAGAGAAAAGAAAGCACCTGGAGAACGAACGGAATGGCAAGGCAAAGTTGCAGTATATAAGGAGTTTGGTTCTCTCCTTCTGGGCTCTAAAAATTTCAGCTTTTCTTGGGTAACAGTCACAGCAGTGATTAGTGAAGGTACTGAATGTTAAGAAAATGAGATCGAGCTGCTTATTGTAAGCGAAGACACGAATCTGCCTGTCTCTTTCAGACTCTTGTTGATCAGTCTCTCTGTTTAAGACATAATATAGCTAATTAAAAAAAAAAAAAAACATTTTTCCCCTTTTCGGTTTTGGGTATTTCTTTTTCCATAAAAACTGATAACCGCAAACTTATTTGCTTAATTTCCTACAAGGGCAAGCAAAAACAGTTTCTTCCAATGAGGAAATTTATACAAAGAAAACTCTGTATTTTAGAGTTGATTTTAAGATTTAGATATTTCGCCGTATCAATAAAATCATTAAAAAAAGAATTTGAATTTTTTTATTTGACAATACATAACTTTTTCTGGGGTCATTCCAATTTTTTTTGGACATAAATAATAAAAAAAATTTCTTTTTTTCTTTTGATACTTTTTGTGATGATAAAAATAATATTTATAAATTGTAGAATTCATGATTTTATGTTCTACGGATCTCTGTAGTTATATCTTATTAACACCCATAAAGAATCTCTAAGAAATTCAAACAATTCTTGCTAAACATGTCTTTGCTCTATTCCCTAAGTTAGTTGTCCACTTTCAGGTTGGACAGTAACAGACACAGAATAATCATTAAGAAGAAGTCCATAACATATCACTAAAGATTTATTGTCGATAATGTAAAGGATGTGGGGGTGGGCAGCTGGTCATATAGATCATGACGATTATACTTTAAACGAAAAATTCATACTCTTGAGTCATTGATAACCAATTAGGTGAATAATAGTACATATAAATGAAAAACATTTAATAAATATTTCATTTGAATGAAAGTGCTTGATATTTAAAATTAATAATTTTTATACAAGGTTGGATAGTTTATGATTCACATTCTTACCTGTAAAAGTAAGGAATATAAAACTAATTCATTATTTAATATGTACTTGAAATTAAACAAGGACATATATATATAAATATTTGATTTTATTAAATATATGAATATATATCATCTCTATATAAAATATTTTTATAAAAAAATAAAATGATTTTTTAATTTTTCCATTAAATTTGAGATATGTTGACTTGATTTATTTATAAAATCCAAACTGAGATTTATACTTTGCAAAAACATGATTTAGATATGAATTACGGAGTAAAATTTGATAATTTGATACTTTAAATAGTATTTTTAATTTGTCTTCAAAGCATTGTTAAAAAAATTTATGGGACATAGGTTTGATTTAATAAAGTTTTATTTTTTACAGGCTTCTCGCATATATAAAAAAAACTTAAGTACTTTTGAGAGAACTTTTTTTAATAAAAAAAATTCATAAAAAGCTTCAACAAAATAAAATATGGTTGATTATTGAATATCATATACTAACATTTGATTCTAAGAGTACAAAATTTTAATGTCTTTTCCCACCAAATTACTACTATACTATATTTGTGAGTTTCTTTTATATTAAAATATTTCTTTATTCAAATAAAATCTACTTATAACAAAAATAGATAAGGTCCATGATGCTTACAAAATTTTTGTTTAGTACTCCACTAAATTTTAAAAATAACAAAATAAAGTATTTATTACATTTTTTTAATATATGTAATTTTATATAAAATTTGATAATTTATAACTAAGTTAATTTCCTTAATTTTTAAAACCACTAAATAAATTGAATACACTCATATAAAAAATTAAGAATGTAAATATTTGAAGATATTATTAAGTTAATAACTAAAAGGCATTGGACAATATAAATGCTTTGATTCACTAGATTAAATGATTAATTTGGTAATGGTGTTTTTTAAATGATTAATTTCCAATTCTTTTAGTTTTTTAAATTTTGGTTTTTATCCTCTTTTTTTTTCAATCCATTGTTAAGAGATAAGAGATGAAGTCACTAGATTTTAATAGTAAAAAAATAAATCATTCTTGACACTAATTATGGTCATGAAAAAAATTATTTTTAATATTAATAAATTTCATTTAATAAGAGAAGTTTCAATGAGGTGTTGTATCAAAATATTGTAACATATTATAGACTTTCTCATCTTTATAAAAACATATTTAACTATTTACTCAAAAGTGATTGTATCAAAATCTAAAAATAGTTATATAATAGAGTTAAATTATATAAAAAAATGATCCATTATACAAATATTAATTAGTTGACTGTATTAATTTAATCATAATCAAAAGACAAAATGCACCCAATATAAATAAATCTTCTCTCTTATATGCAATGGAAAAATACAAAAACCAAACCTCTAAAAATGATAAAAACAAGTACAACAAGAGGTTAATATATTTTCATTGAATAAAAATTAAATAAAAAAATAATATACATGTATATATAACTATATATAGTCCCTTTGTAGAATTTTAAAAAACCAAACCAATAACAACAAATATGAACACTAAGAAACTTGCCAATACATTAGAAGATGATGAATTAGATGAAAGAGGCACTCATAACCTTAGAGCTATTGAGCTTGCGAGGCTTGATGTTTTGATGTTGTAGCATAATCAATATGTGTAGCGTTATTGTTTTTTTTTTTTTAGATTAACGTGGGTGTCCGGGCCAGCTTGTGCGCACCACAACTAATCCCATGGACCTTGAAGTTAACGACCATGTAAGCCTCCAGTGGCCATCATATGAGCAACCAAGGACTCGAACCTGAGATCACAGAGGGAGCAAACCCCTTGATCCCAAGTTCTTACCACTTGGCCACCACCTAAATGGTTTTGTGTAGCGTTATTGTTGTTGAAGGTTGTGAGGTACCTAGTGTGCCTAATAATATAATAATATATAGCTTTTGTTTAAATTAATAATGTTAGACAAAACCATAAAAATATAGTGTGTTCATCATTAGTTTCAACTTAACAAGACTTGTGGTAATAATATCATTAGTGTATAGATTATATGTGATATTGGCTTTGTTTATTTGTGTATATATAATTTATTAATAAAAAGTTTATTTATTTTTAATATTCATTAAATATTTAATTAATGAATCTAAAATAAAGATAAATTTATTGGGACAAAAACATTTATAAAGAAAATTATAACATTGTTATATATAATTATGAGATTTTTATTATATTAAAATATTGTTTTTAATATCTCTAGTTAATGTTCTATTAAAAATAAATATTAATTAAAATTGTTAAAACTGAAATATATTATATTTTTTTATGAGATTTTTAATAACCGTAATTTAAAAAAAAATGTGTTTTATCTAAAAAAAATTAGAATATTATAATTGGCATCAGAACAGTGATTAATATCCCATGGATTGAAATATTGATTTGAAATCTTAATCTGTTTCATGATGGTTGGAAAAGCAACCAAGACTGATCCATCCCCAATTCAAGAAAAAAACAAAACATGATACATTTGATGATGATGACGAGGAGGAGTAAGAGGTCGATCCTTTAGCGAACACCGCCTCGCATTTACTTACATTTGTACGCTCCAAGAGGGGTAAATATATATAGGACACCAGATGATTAGGTTTCCCGTTGAGTTGAGATATCACGACCTAGGGCATCTAATATACAAGGGTAGATAGATAGGCCTCCACCGATGACGCCAGCTATCGTACCTACACTATATTCAAATCTTACATTTTTAGAGCAATTGGTTAAAGCAGTGGGTGCAGAGTAGAGAAAATTATCACATTGATTGAGGTATGTGATGCATTCAAGAGGAGAAGATCAACATATTGTGAGACATTGATTGAGGTAAATTGTAATCCACGTGATAAAATCATTTAAAATTCAATTGGAAAAGAATAAATTGAAAGAAACATATTTTTAATTATAGTAAGGCTATGGAAGAAATATCAGTGTAAAGTTACGGAAGAAATAGAGGATTTATATTTTTATATGAAAAATATTGATGATCAGATTATTAATCGAAATAAGCCGGGGATATTAGCTCAGTGGTAAAACTGTAAATATAAACCTCATGTTTAACGATGTAAACTCCAAGTCAATGAAGTTTTCGGGTGAAAATAGCAATAAACTTGTATGCGGAAAATAATTATGGTTGAAGATTTGACAAAAAAAGAATTATGTTAATAATAAAATAGCATGTGTGCCATAAATAAGGGTAATTTGGTAAAATAAAGAGAAAACAATATCCTCATTTTCTTTATAAGCCGGCGGCATTAAGAGCATGCACGGGAAGGAAGATGTTAAATGGGAAGGAAAAATAAAAATAAAAAACTATTATTTTAGTTTTTTAATACTAAAAACATATTATTTTTTTTATTTTTTATAAAAAAATTATTCCTTAATATTTTGTAAAAAAAATAAAAAATATATATATATATTTTTTAATTTATATCTTTTAAGTTTATTTTTTTAAAAATTATCTTTATCACATAATTCGTATTATTAATTTAATAAATTTATTTGGGTTGATTTAATATTATTTTTTATTTTTAATTATTTTTTAATATTAAATTAATTAAAAATTATCTAGATTACATATCATATTATTAAAATAATTATGTATTAAATATGTTTAAATACAACTAGATCTTATAAATAACTCTTTATCACTAAAATACATATAAAAAAATAAAAAACTATATTTATTCTATTTAAAAATTATATTAACCATGTAAGTTGGAGAAATTTCATGTTAAGTTTGATTTAAATTGATAGATTTTGAAATTTATAATGTAAAAGTCTTAAGTGAGAATGTAACTTGAAATCATTAACCTATGAATTATATTATAAATTAATAGTTATGGGATATTAATTTAAAATTTTGATGTGTATATAAATTCCTAAGGATGAGTTTCTAATAGTTATTTTTAAAGGATTGTAGGATAAGTGTTTGGGGTGGGGTTGACTTCTCCGAAGTGCATAATAAAGCAGAAGCCTAAGGTGAGGAATTTCCTCTCCCTTGCCTTTTAATTTATTTAAATTATCTTTGTAATTTGTTAGATTTACAAAGTTATTTAATTGTGTTGTGGATAACCGATTGTTACAAAAATAATGCCTATAAGACAGATGTATATGTTGTTGTTATTGACTGTAAAGGTGGTAATTATGTATGTGATGTGTAATGGTAGACATAAATATATAATTGTGGGCAACCACAATTTCGTTAAT